ATCTCCATTAATTTCTTGCCAAAAATACACAAAAAAATTCATCATATGACACGCTATAAATAGTTATACTCTCTCACTGACTCTTGCATCTAAAAATTCATACCTTCTAGATTTTTTCTTGTATGAGTTCTTCTGCCATAATTATCACCATGGTCTCCTCAAGCCAAAAACCCAGAGAAACGCCAATAAGGAATGTGTCCAATGCAGGATTAATAAAACTCAAGCAAGAATAGAAGATGGTGATTCTAGCAAAGAAGGTAATTCATCCTTGGTACATGGAGCAAAGCATATTGAAAAGTCACAAGCCTTATCACCAAATTCGCCAAGCCTCACTCAAAGACTTCTTCACCTAAATACTGCATAGGTCCTTCCCAAAACCTATAAAGAAAGATCTACCTAAACTTGATACTTGTAGGAACCTCTTTGAAAACATCTATAAGAGAAGTGGAAATTAATATTCACGAAGACAACTTTTGGAGAATCTTCGAGTTGCCTACTATATGAACATTTTGTACCCTTGATATACCCTTAGGTCTTAGAAACTTCAAACACTCTACAACCATTACTCGTGTCATTAAACTCATGGAAAAGAAGAAAGTCCCTTTCAATTCTAGCCACATAAATCTAAAGGTTAAGATCCTTCACAACCTTTTGACTAGGATCCTATTTCCTAGGAACTTAAACTATAGCTACGTCATTAAGAAAGATGTAGTACCCCTTTGGCTATTAACCCAAGAAATTACAACTAATTGAGTTGAGGGAATTTTAAACCACGAGATTGGGTGCAAAGAGATCACATCAATAAGGCTCCTTTATGGACCAATCATCCTACGAATTCTAGCCATCTTCAACATTGGCACCATGGATGAAAAAGAAGACTCAATCAATAATAGGATAACCTATACTACTCTTAGGGAGATTAAAGTTATGGTCAAGCATGAAGAAATCCAAGAGGTCTCCATATTCAAGGAGGAAGAAGAAGAAGAAGAAGAAGAAGAGTTAGAAGAAGAAGACACCAAGATAGACAAGGTGTTAAAAAATTTTCAAAGTTTGGCTGAGGATATGAAGAAGTTATTGGCAAGGAACAATGATCTATATGGGATAGAATGATCTCACATATATGTTTTTAATATTTAGTTGATTAATTTGTTTCCTAGTTTAACATTTAAAATTTGAAATTTTCCCTTATTGTACTTTGAATTTCTAGTATTAATAAAACAATATTTTTCCCTTTCCTAAATGTTTATTTTCTTATGTTTGCATATTTATCTTTTTTGCAATGCATCTTTACCCGCATTTTTTATTTTAAAAAATAGGGAGAAGTATACTCTCAGGAGGAGCATATTATACTCTCTATTTAACTAAGAGGGTTTAATTAATCCAAACACATGTGTTTTATTTTCTTTTACCACCTCTCCTGAGAGATGTGTTATCATCATAAAAAAAGGAGAGAATGTGAGATCTTGTTTTGCAAATGATGTGCTTTTAACAAGGACAACAACTTTTGATGATGACAACTAATGTCTAATGATGACAATTGGTCCTTAATGACAAGTCAAGTATAAGCGGTTAAGCGATTAAATACGCAAACCAAAATATTATGGTTTGGTGGAATTAACTTTCTGATGATGGAAATTAAATGGAGTTTAACTCAAGCCTAATCCCAAGTAAACTCAATAAAGTGTCTATAAGAAAGAAAGCATTTGACAAAGTCTTGAAGTTCCTACCTCGTTTAGTATTAGTTAAAACTTTGTAATGCATAAGGGCGTTTTTGTAAAAGTGAATGGCTAAATCACACACACACACACACGCACACATGCAAAAATACTTTTCAAACTAATTTTTCTCAAGAAAATATTTTCAAAAATGTCTTGAAGTTGTGCCAGACAAGTTAGGAGCTGTCAGAAAAGATTTGGGCAAATTCTTGTCTTTGTCAAACGAATGGCATTTTGACCCAATCGATTAGGTCAATTCAAAAAATGCCCTAATTGATTAGGACATCGCATTTATGACTGGTAATGGCTAGATATAAATAGAGGCCCTTCTCTCATTTAAAACATCCAGAATCTTATTTCATTTCACACTTCTTTCTCTCTCTCTCTCTCAATTTTTCTTTTGTTTACTTTCTCTCACTAAGAATTTAGCCTAAGTGCTACTCTAGAGAGTCTGTTTACAAGTGAGGATTATGTAATTCTAGAAGGGTAGATTTGTAATTCCAACAAGGGAGTTTATTTTATTCCTTGGTTAAACATTTTTTCCTATTAAGGAATGCTGGTTTGGGTTAGAAGCTAAGCCCGTAAAAATATTTGGTTTAGGGATTGTATAATCAAACCCTTGTTTAGGTTCAAAGCCTCGGCCCGTTTTAAAAGCTTGCATAGGTTTTTGATTACCTCGTTGTAAAACCAAGTGAAGTTTAAACCTTAGCTCGGTATTAAAAGTTTGATTAGGATTGATATTAGTCGGGTATTAAAATCTTACAAGTTATTGGTTAACCCGATATAAAACCAAGTTTTAAGGTTTGTGAGTTCAATCTGATGTTAAAATCTACCAATGTTGTTTAGAAGCTTGAAGAATAACCGCTCTAAGATTCTCGTGGAAAGGAGACTGGCAGCTTTGATCCACCGCTTAGAAGGAAGACTCGCCACTTCACTCCATAGTTCAATGTTTGGTTGAAAGTTAGCCTTAAACTTCATTTTTCCTTCTATAAGGAGGTTTGTGAGTATAACATACTAAAGTCTTTCAAGTTTATTGGATACTCTCAAGATCAATTCTTGGAAAGAGGATTAGTTTTTCTCTTTTAACCAAACCTCTATATTTTTCGATGTCTTCCCTTTTCCCTTAAACACTTTAATTTTCGCACTTTACATTCTGCTTTGTTATTTTCCGCTGCTTAATACTTAAACATCTTTCAATATGTTTTTAAACTCTATTTTCAATTCCAAATTTGTTTTAAAACAATGTTTTTATGAACCACACAATTGATCATCCCTCCTCTTGTGTGAGATGTCATATGTTCAACATATATGTCACAAAAATTGAGGATATGATACATAGAACTTGTGTCAATAGGGACACCAATTATATTATGCAACCAACTCCAAAGTCGTTGAGTAAAAGAACACAAGAAAAAAAATGTAAAGTTGATTATATGCTAGTACTATAAAGATCACTTTCGGAAACAATAACATAATCTCTAGAGCACAAGTTGTCATCTATAGATAACTTATTATGAATTAGTCTCCCAATAGTGATAAACTTAAAATATCTCTATCTCAAACTATTTTGGTCTAAGGAAGCATCTGACCAGAAGGTCTTTGAATTTTATAAGCTTCTTTAAAATAGATTGAGTCATTCACACAATAAATCTAAACAAGTTTGTTAGGAAATTTAACCTTAAGAATAGCTACCTTACTTAACAGGTTACACATATTAGGAATGATGTACATAAGAGAAGTGAGAATGTGGCATTGATCTTTGAGTGTCAAATATATCACCTTAACATTGAGGATCATACTAGAGTAAGTAGAAAGAGTATCCCTTTAAAAATTAATAGTAGTCTCATTAGCAACAAGCCATGTGGAGTTATCTTTCACATTTGAAAATTTTCTTTTAATTCCTCCTCAAATAGATGAGTGAATGTGGTATTGAACAAAACATGATGCACAATTCTCCTTCAAGAGTAGGAGTATAAACCTCATGTCAAGGCACAATGACAATTTTTCTAATATCAATATCATATGCGCGTATGAAATTTTTTATCCATTTGTCAATGATATGTAGGAGGACGATATACCAATGATAGTTAAGAAAAAATTAAATTAGGATGTGCGGGATGACACTCTTGAGTAATTCAACTCTTCCGGTAAGAAAAAGAAAAGAAATCTTCTGATCACTCAATTTATATTTGATCTTGTTAACAATAGGCTAAAGATAGTTGACTTTAGTCGAACCTTTAAAAATGGAGGCCTCCAAACAATTAAAAGGAAAAAGAAAAATGTTGAATCCAAGCATCTCAACAAGTCCCTTTGACCCATTATAATTGATCAATCATCCAAAAAAAGTGGATATAGTTGAATTAAAAAGCGGATTTGGGATCACACTATACTTGATGAACAAGTAAATGAGATTACTTACATTACTGATAGTAATCTTGCAAAAGATAATGACATCATTTACATGTAAGACATGTGAATGGACCTGACTACCTCTAATACTACTAATTAAAGTTTAACTTATCATCATTGACTAATTTTATAATATATCTATTTAACACGTCTTTAACAAAGCAAAATTAAAGAGCGGAGAATGAATCACCTTGTCTAACACGTATTTTACATAACATTTAATGGTGTGTCGTCGCCATTTTCGTCAGACCTAACTTAAATTGGTAAAAGGGTTGATAAATATGTCATATACATCTCATCCAAATCAATAAATTAATGATCCTTATCTTATTTTATCTAAATTATGCTGAAAGTCATATATATAATTAATATTGCTCCGTATTTAAACATATACAAAAATTTAAAACAATATAGTTTAAAATTTTTAACTTTTATTTATTTTTAATTTAAAAATTATGTTCCATTAAATCAACTCGGTGTATAATAATACAAAAATATCAAATATAAGTACTTAAATTCAAACGAGCAATATGTCAATTATTCACTTTGCTGAATTACTATCACCAAACTACTTGATATAAAAATAATAAAAAATTAAAAAGTACTATCACATGCGAAGGAAGATCATGAAACCCTAAAATTAGTTATCTTATCCGAACACTCCTCTTGTGTCAATTATTCGTCGTTATAATCACATAAACCACTTTTGACTTTGCTTTACCTAACAAGAATCTTAACTTTTGCGTCCATAAAATAAACAAGTACACGTCTCAAAATATATTAAAAGCCTAGCTATACTCAATCACTATATATAGCCACATAGAGCATTTGAGTAAACCCAACTAAATCATCTTGCATTATTGCATATAACAATCTATGGCTTATTGCAAATCCATTGATGTGTTTTCATGGATTCAAAACCTTCCACCAATATCAGAATGGAAAACAGGTTCTATATCCTTAAACTTATGTTCTTTAACAAACTCATCTCAACCATCACTTAACCTCACCCTATCAAAAAACCACCAATCTCAAAAACTCTCTTTTGCTATTGTGGCTGATTTCAATATCCCTATTTTTCTTTGGACCTCAAAACCATTCAAACCTAGCACTAAAATAGCACATGAAGAAACCATTTCAAATCTCCTTGTTAATTTCATACAAGACATCCTTCATTATGGCTCAAAAAACAAAAATAATAGTACTACTCTCTTCATTAAATTTCCGAAACTCGAAACCATTTCGAATTTTGGTGATATTTTCAACCTTGCTTTCTTAACTCTATTTTTCTTAGTTTGTATTTACGAAGCCCCTTCGGATCTTCGTTACGGATGTCTTAATTCTTTAAAGGAACAACTATCACGTTGTGGATCAAGAAATTCATCAAAGATGTTGATGAAACTCTTAGGTTCTAATTTAGAAGAAAAGTGGATGCGTTCTATTAACCTTGCTATTACAAATTGGATTGTGGAGTTACAAGAAGTAGCTACAATAAATCATAGAATGCTTAGAACACCATGTCCTTTGTTTTCTTATGCATTTTCAGCATTTGGGTTGTGGAAGGTTCAATTGTATTGTCCTCTAATAACCATGGATGTTGTTAGTGCAAATAATCATAGAGCTGATGAGAGACTTCAATTCTCTCTCAAGTATCAACAACTTGAAGGTGTTCTTCAATTCAATCACAAAGTCTTTATCAAAGAGAAGTGGGTTGAAATCATGGTGAACATTGATAATATAAGGTAATATTATTTATGCTTCAATATGAAAGATGGTCCCACAAATATCATTAGGAGGTTTGATTTTAGAGTTTCATAACTTTTTGTTTTGTTTTAAATCTTTTAAAGTATATTACTTTTAAATTTATTCTTTCATTTTAATCATTATAAAATTTATTTATATATTAAATTTTTTATATAGAATATTTAACTTTAATTAAATATCTTAAGTAAAATTAAAATAATTAATTATTTAAGGGGCATGGAAAGAAATAATGTTGATGATTATTTTTTTTAAACTTTGCTTAAATATTTAATTTATTCCTTTTTTTTATCTAAAATTTTTCTCCCATTTATCCTATTTTTTATTTGCTTTGCACTCCTCCTAAATATTAATTTTAATATATATTATCAAATTACACTCCTCCTACACACCTAGTATTAATTTTAATATTAATAATTAATTTTTTGTTGTTTATGTTAGATTAATCTAATGGTCGAAATGTAATAATATTATATTGATAATTAATTTTTTTTATAAATATTTAGAATAATTAAACCTCTATTTTTTATGATAAAAATCTTCAAACCTAATTTTATTATCGTTTTGTTTTAATATTTTTTTTTATTATATGATGAGTTAATTCAATATTATAATTTTTGTGGCGATATAGATGTGATGTTTTCAAACTAGTAGATGAGACTCTTATGAGAGAAAGAGGAGCTGGTGCATCTGAAAAACACTTTCCATCAAGAATATCATTACAACTTACACCAACTCTTCAACATCAAGTCCTAAGTGTATCCGTAGGAAAATCCTCAGAAAATCCAAGAAAGGAAATAGGCATAGAAAAAACCCTAGAAGCTTCATTTCAACCAACAAATCCATACATAGGACTCAACGTATCAGCAGGAGAATCATCAACAATGAGTTTAAAGCCATGGAAGTTCGAAGAATCGGTTTACGGATATAGTGCAAATTTGAATTGGTTTCTTCATGATAGTATGGATGGAAAAGAAGTGTTTTCATCAAAGCCTTCAAAATTTGATATGATTAATCCAAAGTCATGGTTTAGGGATAGGTATTCAAGTGCTTATCGTCCTTTTACTAGAGAAGGTGGAGTTATTTTTGCTGGTGATGAATATGGAGAAAGTGTGTGTTGGAAAGTTGATAAAAATGCTAGAGGGAAGATTATGGAATGGGAAATTAGGGGTTGGATTTGGGTTACTTATTTGCCTAATAAGTATAGGACTTTTTATCATGAAACTAGGAGGTTGGAGTTTAGGGAAATTGTTCATCTTAATATTCCTTAGCTTAGGAATAAAGCAGAATATAAATACTCTTGCATTGTCAAAAAAAAAAAAAAATTCCTTGGTTAACATAAAAAATAATACGTGTAATAGTATTGTTTGTATACAGTAAGTTTGTGTAAGTAATATTATTGTAAAAAAAAATTTGTCATCATATCAATCAATTCGTATGAAATTGTTTTTATCCACTAGCATACACATGTTAATTCTCCTCTCGCGCTTATCTTCTTTTCTTTTCTTTTATTTCTCTTACAAAAATCTTCTTTCATTTAACATTGACCTTCATTCATTTTTTTCCTTAATCCTTGAATAATAGGTTCATAATACATGAATTTTCATTTTCAACCTTTAAATTGTAAAAATGAATTCTAATGTAGGAAATCATATTTGTGCCGGGTTTGAGCCTAGAGTTTCTTTGCTAGGAAATAAAATGAATAAAGTATGAAGAGTTTTTCATTCAAGTTTGCGTTAAATTGTAAAAATGAATTCTAGAGTAAGAGAAATCATATTTATGTTGAAGATGCGAATTTGAGACTAAAGTTTTTTTTTCTAGAAAAAATAATATATTAGAAAAAAAATTGTATTTGACTAGAGGTTTTAACCCTTTAATAAAGTAAAAAACTCATCACAAAATATAAATTTGTTAGAGGATATGCCCCCTAGCTAATCAGGGCATCACAAATTTATACTTAGGATCTCTGCAAATTTAGCTAAGGGGTAAGTCTCTCACAAATTGTAACTCATAAAATTCAGTCTTCTACACAACAGGTATAAGAACAGACTAGTGACACAGAGTGACACAAACATGTCAGGTAATTTGATAGGGGATAAACCTTTAATTAAAGCATATGTGTTTTGTATTTGGTGAGGAGTAAAACCCCTAGTATTTGCAAAGGGTAAAGCCCCTAAAAAATTAATTTACGTTTTAGACTTTTTGAGGGGTTTAACTCCTTGATAATGTTTAAAATATTATAATAAAAAATTATAAGTATATTATACAATTTAATTCATATTTTTTATAAATTTATTACTAAAATATATTAATATTTTAAAAAGTGTATATTTTTTTAAATAAAACTAATAACTGATTTGTGCGATCACACGAGCCGGTACGTATGATAATTTTAGTTAATGGATGTTTATTTTGAAATACAAATGAAAATAGAGATGTTTTAATAATAATAACATGTGTGTTTGACACAAAATATTGCAAAAATAAAAAATAAAAAATTCCTTTAAAATGTATAAATTGGAAAAAGAATTTGATATATATATATATATATATATATATATATATATATATATATATATATATATATATATATATATATATATATATATATATATATATATATATATATATATATATATATATATATATATATATATATATATATATATATATATATATATATATATATATATATAATGCATAATAAAATAAAAGTGAAATAGTATTAATTTAAAAATGGAGCAAAAATGGTATTGAAGTTAGTTTGATATTAAAATAACAAAAAATTGTAGTTGTTTAATTAAAAAAAATGTTACTAAAACATGAAACGTTAATAAGAAAATGTTATTAAAATTAAAAAAATAAATGTTACTAAAAGGGGATAATAAAAAAATAAGCTTATTAGAATTAAAATAAAATAAAGTTATATAACGTGTTTAATGAATTTTAAAAAAATGAGTAAATGAGAGATATGTCATAAAAAAAATATGGGCCAAAATTTATATGTAATGAAACGTTTTTATAGTATGACCCAAACAAGTAATAGGTTAAAGTTTCAAGTGTCTAACCGTATTAAACTGAAGAAAAAAACAAAAGTGAAGAAGAGAAATTTTCAGCAGAACTTAAAGAATGATGTCAAGACTGATATACATCTCAAGCGGTAAAACTCTAACACATGAAACTTGTTTTGGAAAATTGTTTGTAATATCTGTGGAAGATTGAGTTTAATATGTTAACGAGGTTGTTGTATTTAACACAGTTTATCATCTGAATCCGAAAGACATGATGAGTTCATTGAAGCAACGTTGAAATATGATGAAGTCAACGTTGATGGTTCACTGATGGTTCACTGATGGTTCACAGTTTTCGGTCATTGATGGTTCACACTCTCTTGGTGGAGTTTGGATGTTATATTCTTGACCAGTTCCTATTTCGGATCATATGACATCTATTTTTTCTACTTCTCTTCAAGAATCAAATATTGCTAGACATTGTACTTCTATTGGTTTATGCTTGTAGGATAGTGTTCATACGCCTATACCAGAGGAGGGCATGAGTTCACAATTTTTTCTCTATCAATTTGTCTTGAAGGTACTTCTTTTCCACTATCTTCTCTTTTCATGACTCTTGCACCATCATTAGTTGGGGTATCTAATTTTTTAGAAATTAAATTAATGGTTATAATCCACTGATTAACTAAGCAATTAGAGTGTACTCATGTGATTAGTGATAAGGTAGAAGTGAAGAAGTTAAAGGCTCTAGAAAAAGGGATATACTTTAGAAGTGTGTCCGGTCGGCAAGGTTTTCTCACTCGTGTTGATTTTCTCTTTTAATTGTAGAGGCTTTAGAGGTAGGATTATGAAAAGTAAAATTGTGGGGCTAATTTTGTCCAAATCCTTGGATTTTGTGGCCATCCAAGAAACTAAAATTAGAGCGATCTCCCTTTCTTTTGTCCATTACTTGTGGGGAAATCATTGTTGATAAATTGTCCGTCATTTGGTAGATATAGTGGTCTTATGTCGATCTGGTGTAGTTCAAAATATAACGCATTGTTCTCCTTTTTTAGTCTTGGTTTCCTAGGTGTTTGTTTGGAGTGAGGTGCTTCTAACACTGTTTGTTTTGTTGTTAATTTCTATTTCAAGTGTCCCTTAACTGATAAGAGAGATATGTAGACTGATTTGTGTTCTCGAAAAGTGAGCCTTTTGAGTGCTAATTGGTGTATTTTGGGTGATTATAACTTTATTTCTCTTCTGTAGAAATGGTGGTAGTTGGAGATCCTTCTAGTTCCTTTAGAAATGTGGAAAACTTGGAGTTCTCTAATTTTATTTCCCACATGGAGCTAATTAATTTACCTTTCTTAAGTAGGAAGTTCACTTGGTTCTAACCCATTGGTGGGGCATCTAGCAGACTTGATAGGATCTTGGTTTCTAACGAGTGATGAGATCACTATGGTGAAGTGTCCTGATGGGCCTTAGGGAATTTTTTTAATCATTGTCATGTTATCTTTAAGCATGCTAATCTGGTGTGGACCCATAAGACTTTTAGATTCAATAATCATTGATTACCTCACAGTGGTGTTCTTGAGCTAGTATACTCAACCTAGTCTAGTTCTATGTTCCACGACTAGAAAGATTTTGTTTTGTTGGAAAGCTCTCAAATTGGTTCTAAAAGCTTGAAATAAAAAATGGTTTGGTAATATTGATTCTCATATTGAAAATTTAAAAGAGGTTATGAGTAAAGTGGATTCTTTGGTTGATCTTAAAACCTTATCTGTGGTGGATATTGAGACTAGATCTAGAGTGCTTTCAAATTTGTGGTCCTTATTAAGGAATAAAGATTCTCAACCATTCCATAAATTTGTGTCTAATTAGCTTAGGGAATGAGACACTAATTTAGGATACTTTCATGCTTCTGTTAAAAGTAGAGGTAGACAAAATGTTATCATAACTCTAATGGTTGGAGAAGGTTGGATTTAAGGGGTGCCTTAAATTAGGAAGGAGGTGTTAAGCATTTCACTAATATTTTTAGAGAACCGAATATTGATAGACCTTTTCATGATGGGGCTGTCTTCCGCTCTCTTTTGGAATATGAAAATCTTGTTTTGACTTCCCCATTTAGTCTCCTAGATTGTGTTAGGTGCCATTTTGATGGTAACAAGAACCCGAGTTCGAATGAGTTCAATTTCTCCTTCCAAAAAGGTTTTGGAATCTCCTAAGAGACGGTTTGAGAACATGTTTGACCAATTTCATTACTATGCAACTCTACCTCGTAGTTTTTCATCTTACTTTGTAACTTTTGAAGTTGCATGTCTCTAATACATTAAAGGGGAGAACCCATATACAATTTTTTTGCTTGTCTCTTAAGCTTTCGTTTCATTATTATTGTTTATTGAGTCTTATATTCTATTGCACATATTTAGATTAAGTTTAGAATCCAATCGTTTTAGCATGCATAAATCAAATGTTTCCATTTGAGTATCATCTTTTGTTTTAAGTCAATTAGTTGAGTTAGTTGAACAATAACCATTTTTAATGTTGGTTCAAGTTATGTGGGTAGTGGAATCTCAAACTATTTTGAAAAAATAGAAAAAAAAATGAGATTTCTTGTGTGTGACTCGAATCACTCACAATCCATGACTCGAATCAAATCAAACAAGGGAAAACAAAAATAATTTTGCATTTGTTACTTAAATCACAATTTGAACTTGATTTAAATCATACAACAGTGTGACTCGAATCACAAGTTGCACCTGATACGAATTACACAAGTCCTGTTAGCCATTTCCCATTATGATTCAAATCACATTTTACACACGAATCGAATCATGCAGTTTTTCACATTTTCCTGTTTGGCTCTATCCAAATTGATTCGAATTAAGGTTTCTACCACTACTACAAAATAAACCTTTTGTAACATCAATTTTATAATGGCCATAGTGTTAACCATGGTATTAGTTTATTTTTGGGCGCTTTTTTTTTGTATTTATTAATTAGAGAACATGTCACAACGGTCAAATGAAGAAAATGTGGTGATAAGGTACACATAGTGAAATGGTTCGAATTCCAACAACAACAATTAGCCATTTATCGTGATAAAAATGTTATTGACCTTGTATATCACCACGGTTTTTATTACCAACTGTGATGAAAGGTGATACTTTATTTATATATAAGCAAAATTATCTATCGCTTCAGTATATAATAACCATCTCTCTCAAAATAAAACCCTAACAACTCTTTCACTCGTCTCTTTCAAAACAAAACTCTAACAA